GGAACACGTTCGTAGGGCTTTTTCAGTTACGCATATATTGAAGCTTTCTCTTCAGGCATCCAGAGGTTGTGAGAAATAATAACAGGCTTACCTAGACTGGTAGCCCTGACAGTATATATATAAGAAATATGTATCTGAGTACAATTAGGAAACTACCTAATAATTAATACTTAATTAATTCTACACTATTACACCCCCTCAAGCTATGCAGGAGGGAGGAACTACGCGTAGATTGTCTCGAAGAAATAAAAACTGCTGAGGTGCCAAGCTTTTTGTAAAAATATCAGCCAACTGAAACTTCGTAGGAACATACTGCACCAGGAGATCACCATGAGCCACACGTTCGCGAACAAAATGATAGTCAATGTCAATGTGCTTGCTGCGAGCATGCTGAATGGGATTAGCAGATAAATAAGATGCAGAAATATTATCACATAGAAGCCAAACCGGACGATGTATAGGAAACCCAAGTTCGAAAAGTATGGACCGAATGTGTAATGTATCTTCCACAGTGTAGGCAATAGCTCTATACTCAGCTTCTGTAGAAGATCTGGAGACAGTGGGTTGCTTCTTGGAACGCCATGAAATCAAATTAGGACCCAGAAAAATAGCATAACCTGAGGTAGATCGACTGCTATCAGGACAACCAGCCCAATCAGCATCAGAGTATGCAACAACAGAGGTGGGTCATGCGGAAGGCTGAAGTTGAAGTCCATGCGTGATAGTGCCCTGAAGGTACCTGAAAATTCTCTTGACAGCAAACATATGTGAAGTACGAGGAGCATGCATAAATTGGGATACCAGGTGAACAGCATATGTAATATCAGGTCTAGTCATAGTCAAATACTGCAATGCACCTACCATGCTACGGTACTCAGTAGAATCAGAAAGTAACTCACCATCAGTGATAGACAATTTAGTTCTATTTGGTAGCGGTGTGCGAACGGGTTTCAGTGTATGAAGATGAAATCTGGATAGAAGATCAGACACATATTTGGCTTGAGATAAGAATAAACCTGATGAAGTACGCACAGCCTGAACCCCCAAGAAAAAATGAAGATCACCAAGATCCTTCATTGCAAAATAATTTCCCAAAAGAGAGATAAATTTCCGAATGAGTGAGGAGGAATTACCAGTAACTATAATGTCATCCACATATAAAAGTAAATAAATGATGCTAGTGTTATGACGAAAAATAAACAGAGAATTATCAGCACGACTGCAAAGAAAACCATTTGTTAAAAGGAAGCTACTGAAACGATAAAACCAGGCCCAGGGAGCTTGCTTAAGACCATAAATGGCCTTGCGCAAGCGACAAATGTGATTAGGAAAATGTGGATGAATGAATCCTGGTGGTTGACGCATGTATACCTCCTCTGTGAGATGACCATGAAGAAATGCATTTTTAACATCAAGTTGACGAATGGGTCAATTATAAGATACTGCTAAGGTGAGAACAATGCGAACGGTGGTGGGTTTAACAACAGGACTAAAAGTTTCAGAAATATCAACCCCAGCTTGCTGCTTAAAACCTTGAGCAACCAGACGTGCTTTATGCCGTTCAATATATCCATTTAGACCCGACCACATTTTTACCAGAAGTAAACGGTACTAATTCCCATGTATTATTAGCAATAAGTGCATTAAATTCCTCAGCCATAGCAGCCCTCCATTTTAGATCTTTATTTGCAACAGAAAAACAGGTAGGATCAGGAATTAAAACCCCAGTATTTAAATTAAAAATTGTTTTGGGTTTAAAAATTCCCGATTTTGATCGAGTTTGCATGGGATGAACATTAGTAACACTCAAATTTTCGCCTGTGGTAACCTCACGCGCAGAACCCGGAGATGTCGTCGACACCGTGCTAGATGGCGACCCCGGAGTGGACACCGCACCCCCTGCCGACGAGGCAGGTGAGCTAGGTTCCGAGGAGGCATACTGCGGAGCCGAGGAGATACCGGGCTGCCGTGGGCTGTTTGACGCGTCTAAAAAATTTGGCGGGGACAGAGATAGTAGCGGCTGATCAGTAGGTGGTGCAAACACCGGAGAAGACATAGAGATGGACATAGAGCTGGACGGAACAGGTGCGGACTCAGAAGAATTGGTGATAACTAATTTATTGTATGGAAAAATATTTTCGTGAAATTTGACATGACGACTGACATAGATTCGTCCCGTTTTAGGATCAAGACACCTGTACCCCTTATACTCAGACGCATATCCCAAAAATACACATTGTATAGACCTAGGAGAGAGTTTGTTGGCAGATGTTGCCGTAAAATTGGGGTAACAAGCACATCCAAACACACGCATAAAAGAGAAATCAGGAGACCGGTGAAATAATTTTTGATACGGAGAAAAACCAGTAAATTTGGTGGAGGGTAATCGATTAATAATGTAAGTAGCTGTCAAAACAGCCTCAACCCAAAATGTAGCTGGTAAACCAGCATCAATAAGCATGGTGCGGGCAAGTTCAATGAGATGGCGATGTTTGCGTTCAGCTAAACCATTTTGTTGTGGTGTGTCAGGACATGATTTTCGAAAGAGAATGCCGTGATTATCAAAAAAAATTCGCATACTGAAATTATCAAACTCACCCCCTCCATCACTTTGAAAAATTTTAATTTTGTGGTCTAGTAAATTTTCCACCAGCCTCTTAAAAGATTGAAAATGAGTAAAAACTTCACTTTTACGGCGCATAGGATATATCCATGTAAAACGAGAGTAATCATCAATAAATGAGACATAATATTTAAAACCATCATGAAGACAACACAGGAGATTGCCAGACGTCTGAATGAATTAAAAATAATGGTGTTTTTGAACAATGAAAAACATCTTGAAAAGGTAATCTGTGAGATTTACCCAATCGACACGAGGTACAATCATGATTAAAAGATGAAAGACTACAAAGCTGACCAGACTTTCTAAGACTATCTAAAACACGAGTGCCACAATGCCCCAACCGGCGGTGCCATAAAGGTCCAGTTGCCGCATTAGAAGCAAGTGCCAGAACAGAAGATGAAGGAACACGAATGGGATAGAGACTGTCGCTACTGGAAGCTTGTAGAAGAATTGCCCCCGTTGTTTTGTCCTTTAGAAAAATAGAATTTTTGTCAAAAATCACCATGCAATTATTATCAGAACACAATTTTTGTATAGATAGTAAATTATATTTTATCTGCGGCACATGATAAACAGATCTTAGATGAAGAGGCTTTGATTCGGAATTAATAAAAATATCACCAACATTTTTAATGGGAAGGGTGGTACCATTTGCAACAGTAACATTTAATGGTCCATAATAAGTAGATTTATTTACTAGTGTACCTTCCTGAGGAGTCATATGGGCAGAGGCACCGGAGTCTGGAAACCAGACAGCGTCATGTGAATCACTCATAGGCGCAACCAGTGCTGGAGCTGAGGGCTGGGAGAAACGAGAGGGACACGAAACAACAGAGTGACCTGGAGAATAACAGATTTGACAGACAATTGGCGGGGGAATAGAACCAAATTGGCCATCAACTAACGGGGAGCCTGCAGATCCATAATTAGTAACACAAGCAGAATAGGGATGCGTATTAAACGATGAATAAACTGTATTACATAATGCTGTACCTGGCCTGCCCGGATGTGAAGGCTGCTGTGGAGAAGGCTGATAATATGGCTGCTGAAAATATCCCCCTTGCGCTGGTCCTGGTCGTGAGTGATAATAGGCAGGAGGCTGAGCTGGAAACCCCTGCTGATACTGGCCGTACCCGCGACCACGACCACGGGAACCCCGCCCTCGCTGTCCGCGTCGACCTCTGCCGCGGTGATTCTGGAAGCCACCTCGGGCGTCGGGCCCTGGAGCAGCAGGTGCTGCCGGGTAAGCAGCAAATGCAGTAGGGCTGACGGCAGCTTCTTGGGATCTAAGATAAAGAATTCGTTGCTCCTGTTGGACCAGTCGCTCGCGTAATTTATCAAAAGTAAGACCTTCGGGGAACGAGGATAAGGTTGTAATGATGGACTCATATTCAGGACCCAGGCCAAGCAAAGTCTGTTCTATAAGGTCTTTCAGAGAAACCGGGGAATTGATAGTAGCAAGAGCATCAACAATTTTCTGTATTTCACGCATATATTGTTCCATAGATTGGTTCTCTTTCTTTTTAATATTAGTAAACAATCGTTTTAACTCCATGGAACGAGCCAAACTGGCTGCCATAAAACGTGACTCCAGATGGTCCCATATAATAGATGAAGTTTTCAGGGTATGAACTTCAACGAGTATATCACGTGACAAAGTAGCAAACAGCCATGAACGGACTGTTTGATCTAACTTTAGCCAGTAATAAAACTCATTGTTAGCAATTTCTCTCCGAAGATTATCAAAAATAGTAGAAGAAGGAGGAGAAATTGTACCATCAAGAATGCCCATTAATCCATGAGATACCAGAAAGGACTCGAATTGTGTGCGCCATGGAAGGTAATCTTCGACAACATCAAGCTTGGTAGTGACAATATTGGTGATGTTGGGGGCTGAAAATCCCATAGATTGAGCAATAGCCTCAAGAGAACCGACTGCCATGGAGGGAGGAGGATGTCCAATCGCCCGGAGAGATGCGGGAGGAGCCAAACCTTGTTGGCCAGTCATGGTGGCACCACCGAACGGTGCCCTGGAGGAATCTGCCGTGACCTGCGGATCGGAGAACGAAACAGCTGGTTGCCGGGAAGGAGTCGGCGGTGACCAGTCGAACGTTGGCGGAACCCAGGCGGACATGTCCGGTGCGCTGCTCATCGGAAAAGGCCTGGAGAGAGACTGCTGCATCACGGAGGAGGAACCAAAAAACGGACCTGCCGGTGCCGTCGACATCACGGTTGACGGAGGCGGGGAGACGGCGGTCTGCGGATTTGAGACTGGCGGAGCAACCGTATTGGTGCTGGCGGCGGCCATGCTCATGGTGGAAGACGGAAAAGAGAAGAAAAAAAAAATTAAATAACCCTAGCTCTTGATACCATGTGAGAAATAATAACAGGCTTACCTACACTGGTAGCCCTGACAGTATATATATAAGAAATAAGTATCTGAGTACAATTAGGAAACTACCTAATAATTAATACTTAATTAATTCTACACTATTAGAGGTGTCAATTCCCGATTCAAAGAAGCGGACAGAGGGAAAACCATTTGGATTGGTAGGGGACTGCTCTGCACGAATCGGGATTCAAGAGGGGCTTCTGACGCTTTTCCATGGCTCCAAATCCAGTCTGCGAGGGGATGAACGGGCTGCCTGACAGTTGGAAAGGAAGAAGGTTACTGATTTTAATTAAAATGACGCCATTTAGGGATCGGCACACCGTGCGCACGGTGGCCCGATCCCACAATATAATTACGTTAAATGTAGATGGGAGTTGACATGAAGGGAAGAAAAAGAAAAAGAAAGGAAGATACGTTTGCGAGTCTACAAGTGGTGGTGTGGATGACGCCATGTTGACGTAATCTATGTGTCATAAAACTCCAATTTTTTAAAATGCTTAAAACTTTTTTATTTGTTTTTCAAGATTCACAAATGCTTATTATCTTTCATATGATGCCAATGTTACACGTATAAAGTATAAAAAAAGTTGAAATTTTAATTGTTCAAATTTACTTCTACTCAAAAATATATGAAACACAAATTTTAAATTCGTCGAGCCTCCCATAAACAATCGAAATCTGTATTTTTGAATTTCACAATTATTCATAAAAAAACAAACAATAGGATTACTTATAATAATTTAATTAATGTTTTAATAAAGTGGTGTGTAAAAAAATATGTTGAGTGTATTTTATTAACAGTGCTGAAATAGAGGGAAAATGATATTGATGGAGTCTAAACTATGTTCTCATATATGCCCTTTAATTTATATTAATACAAATTAAAGGGCTTAATGATTTAATCTTATATTACCATCACAATTATACTTCCTTTCTATTGAAATGTTTGCTACAGCGACGGATACATGATTTCATGTTGGGGTGGGCTGAAAAACTTAATTGATAATACATTGAAAATTTTCAAAATAAGCAAAAAATCAAATATAAGAATTCTCCACTAAATTTGTTCCTGACGAGGCTTTGAAACAAAAAACTCGTCAACAATAGAGTCTACATCTATACTAAGAGCAGAGTCTTTTTCAATTTAAAGTGTCATGCAATTAGCAAGAAAGTCATCATCAATTTTGTTGCAGAATGTTTTCTTTAGAAGATACACGACATAAAATAATCATTCTACTATTGCAGTAGAAACAATAAGATCAATACAAAGCGAATCAATCTGCTCATCATTATAACATATTAACTAGATCTTTTGCTCTTAGTCAACTCCTCACATAATTCAATAAGTGTAGATACTTGAAACTTTGTATCATGAATCACATCATGAACATAGTGTTGCAGCTCGAATTCCAAATCACGAATGTCCTGTCTACTAAAATAATCGGGATAGAACTTCCTTGCAAGAGTACAAATAGCATCGACATTGAACGACTCATGAATTGTTGAGATCCAATGAAGCACTCAAAGAAAGGAGTTTCACTGGTTTATCATTAATTCACTAGAACCAGTTTATTTTATTTTATTTTCATCGCATTTATTTTAAAAAATCAATCTCACACATTCGCATTTAATTCATTTAATCCAAGTCGCTGAAATAAATTGGCACTTGATTCATTTTTTCATCCTTATGGAGATGATATCATACGTACAAAAAATGAGGTCAACTATGAGAAATGGGAATAAATGAATTGATGAAAAAATGAATGACACACGTACAACAAGACAAAGTGTCTGGGTGTGAGAATGGATATTGAAATAATTTCCACACCGATAAAATAAAAATGAAAAAAATTATACATTATGATCTTAAGCTTTCAGATAGAGTATATGGTCTCATACCACGGCCCAAATACTCTTGGATTTAGAGACGACCCAAATAGACATCGGTACCAGAAAGCCCAGAGGAAGAGCCCAGTCCAGAATCAAGAGACGACCTTTTCTGTCTGCACCAGCATCTTGACATCTGCACCTCGGCCAGCAGATGCTTGTCCAGGGACTTATGACACTACATTTTAGGTGCACCCATGCACCTCGGTCCCCATCACCACCAGAGATCATCTTATTTCCTTAGCGGATTAAAACACATGTAAGCGGCCCATTATTGTAATTGGGCTCCCCAGGCCCAAGACCTGGGGTCCAGCCCATATTTCCTCTGTAAACAACCCCCTTGGGGGTAGTTGTAAGGGGTTCACAAATCATTAATTGCAAGCTCTTTCTCTCTATATATATTAGCTCTCCCTTCTCTTTAAGTCATACCCTTAGCGGTTTACCGGGAAGCTATCATTTGGTGTTCTCGTTGAGAGAAAGAACAATCAAGTTAGTACACCTCATCACTACCAGACACAGCTGACACTTTGTAAGATGGGGAAGGACACTAGATCAAAAACCATCTACACCATCTACACATCAAAGGCCCTCCATCAGGAGAAGTCTGGAGATGCCACACATCGAAGAATGCTGAGGAATTCCATGAAACCATCGACCCTGAGGCTGATCTCCGCGGCCAGAACAATGCCAACCAGTCGGGTGCTCGGAGATTCCTCGATAGCAAACACAAAAGCAACAAAACTTGAGCGAGCCTCACTCAAAACAATATACCAACACCACCCACTGGTGGTCCCAAACAACTACCTCCAACTCGGCAACAATGAAAATGTTGTCTCTCTAGAGAAGTCGGTCCACATGCAGCGGGGCCACACCTTAGCCTTCAACAGGTTGGGAAATACTCATCGAAGACCAGTTTTTGAGAGGAATGGTGGTTATTACCGACCATGCTAGATTGAAGATTGGTTTCCTAGAAAACAGGTTGGGGCGCCCGACGGTCAACTACATGTCGGTTAGTACCACCATTCCATTCTCTAGATGGGGTGTGGACCCGATAGGATCTCTTTTGAAGGGAGCCGACAACTGGAAAAGCACCTCGCACAAATGGAAGCGAGGGAACAGCACGCCAGAGGCAGTAACACGGGGATCAACTTAGATCCTGGTATCGTTGCGATGATGTGAAAGATAACGGAACTAGAGAGGCAAATCGCTGAAAGTCGGGATGAGCCCATCGTTCCTTTCAGGACGAGAACCCCTTCATAGTCAGGGTCCTCTCTGTCCCCATCTCGGAGAAATATTATCGTCACACCATAAAGCCACACGATGGTCGAAGCGATCCACATGAGCATTTCATCCGCTATCAAAATAGCATGCTCATGTTGAATGCCTCCGACGAGTACCTGTGCAGATGGTTCCTGATCATCCTGGAGGGACTGGCATACGAATGGTTCAACGCTTTACCGAAGGGTAGTGTGGACTCATGGCAAGATTTGGCGGGGCGTTTCTTGACACACTTTGCTGGTAGAAGGCGCAACAAAAAACATTTCTCACATCTCCTGAGCGTCAAACAAAATAAGGATGAATTCCTCCAGGACTTCCTTGAGCGATGGAGACGCGAGACGGAGGAGGTTGAGGGGGATGATGACAGGACACTGCAAGTCCTCCTTCAGGGTGTGTTGTGCCCCACTCCCTACGCGAGGAGTCTTTTTACAGACCCCCCGAGGTCGTACATCAAGGCACTCTAGCAGGGAGACCTCCAAGCCGCGGCAAACGATGCACTCATTGGAAAGACCAAGGAAGAAACAGTCCCCACCGCCACACAACCAAGTCGGGAAGGCAATCAGCCAGCAACAGAAGCATGCCCTACGTCAACCCCTCAACATAAGGCACCTCGACAGGACAATGCTGGGTATGAGGGGCATCGACACAGAGAATAAGTTGGAGGGCACCCTAGATCCTGGATCAGCCAAGGACCCCCTCACGCATCATGTCACTATTATAATAGATTAGCAGAGGAGCGAGGACTGGTTTAGAGGGATCCGACCCCCCCCCCCCCCAAGAAGTGTGTGTCATACACTGGGGCGGAACATATTGTCATTTTCATTGGAACATATCCCATAGCACTGACGACTGTGTAACACTCAAGGATGCCATCGAAAAGTTCATTCAGAGGGGCCAACTGTCCCAATTTGTCAAGGGCCCCCATGGAATACATGGGTAAACATCAGTCACGGAGGGGGGGAGATCCCAAGCAAGAAAAGGGAGATCGACAACCTCTCCGATGAGGAGGACGAGGAGCTATGACCCTAAAAACAACATATAAATATGATCGTCGGAAGGAACACTGGGGGCGACTGGGCCACCCAACGTAAAAAATGGGCACAATCTTTGTATGTGGGCTAGGTGAGACACGCTCCTTCCAAGAAAAACGATTCAAAACTGACCCCATCACCTTCACCGACAGGGACTACCAAAAGGACCTCCATCCCACTGAGACGCCCTCGTCGTCAGGTCTGAAATCAACAACGTCGTCATCCACCGAACGTATGTTGACACATGCAGCTCAGTCAATGTAATTTATATCAATACGTTCAAAAAGCTACGTCTCGATCAAGGATCCCTGAGCCCAATTCAGACACCTCTCTTCGGCTTCACCGGGGACTGAGTTTTTCGATATATAGAAAGAGAGAATATTCATCTTTTTGAAATCTGCTAGATCATTATAATGATATTCTTCTCAATCTATATTTCATATTGGTGCATCTATAGCTGATAGATAATCTCACAAAACAGGGACCAATAGTACCAGATCGAGATAAAACAGAGGTCATCCATTAAGGGCCAAGCACTTGCTGATTTTTGTCACGGAATGCACTGTCAGAGAAGTCACACCCGCCACCTTGGACGCCGAGGAAAATGATACTTGGACACTCTACACTTATGGCTCCTCGGCGTTCAGACCATGTGGGGGTGGTGTAGTCTTCACATCACTAGAAGGTTTCAAAGCTTACTATGCGGTGTGTTTAAACTTCCGTGTCTCCAACAATGAAGCAGAATATGAGGCCCTCCTCAGCGGTCTGAGACTGGCAGCCAGCCTCAAAGAAAAAAACATCATTATCAAACGCGACTCCAAACTATTGGTCGGCCAGATCACAGGATCGTACAAAGCAAAGGAGGAGCGAATGAGGCAATACAAGCAAGTCACTAAGGAGCTCTTCAAGATCTTTGTGTCACACAACATCAGCCAAATTCCGAGAGGAGAGAATACAGAAGCTGACATACTCTCGAAACTCAGTTCGAAAACGCCCGAACACATCTCCAAAATTGCACGGGTCGTAAAATTCCACGTTAGCCCCCATCCTCTACATC